TTTTTTTTTTTTTTTTTTTTTTTTTTGAAATGTTGATGCCTGTTGAACACTTCGTTAAACAATCTGACATTGACTGTTGCTGGGTGAAAATATGCTAATAATATCACTGCGTAGGGATATAATGACTGCCACTTGGGAGAATCCCAAAACTCCGTGTACTGCTCTGACAGGCAGATGCTTCCCTTCCAGTTATTGCTGAAGTGCTGCCATGTAGGAACAGCAGGATGCAGCAGCTGTAGAGCAAGTGACTGCAGAATGATTTAGCCAAGAACTTTGTATTGAGTTAAAACTGTATATAAATAAGCAGCTTGTCAGGGCAGGTGAATATTCACCCAATTTTCATTCTGTGTTGGACAACTGAGAGTGAAGAAATAAAATCTCATGTGAAGAAATCTACATCATGTGCTGTTGAGCACACTTTCAAAGGGTGGGTGCTCTGTGTAAAGTCCTAGCCCAAGTTTTGGCATATAAGAGTTGCAAGGAAGCAACAAAGGCATCAGAGAAGGGAAAGCTATAGGTGAGACCATGTGCCATTTTTCTGTTGTCCTCATAACCAGTACAGCTTAGGGAAACTTGCAGGGTTGCAACAGTTCATAGGGGTCACTGCATCAAGAAAAATCCCCAGAGCCATTCTCCTCACCCATTCATTACCAAGATGGGATGGAATGGCTTAAACATAGCACCATCATCTTGTGCTCCTCAATTCTCACTTTAAAATAACTTTTTCACTAAGGTGGTTGGCAAAAGGAGAGAGTGACAAAGAAAGTCTTGCCCAAAATCCTTTCTCACAGGTCAGTCACCTGCAACTGATACTAAACAGTGATGGCAAAGACCAGTGGCTAGGTGAGCCATTGAGAAAGAATTTATGTCTAGAACAAGGAAATGCTCTTCCATACACTATTAGTACAGAGATAAAAGAAATTTTCATAGTCTGTAGGCATTGTTGTTCTCGCTCCAGGATCCCCTTGTTCAGGCCCCAGCACTGTCAAATGAACTAAATGAGTGCCCTGCAGTCCCTGTTGCCATCTCTCTGGCACTCTGCCTATTTGGCCTTGGCACCTTTCACTGACTCTACGTGTACTTTTAGCTCACTGAGCAAATAAACCCAGGCGAATAATCTATTCAAGAATTGCTGTCCTCTTTTTGGTTGGTGAATCATGCAGTCTCTTCTCACTGTCATTCCAAACTACTCACCGAATGTGCTTCATTTGTTATTCTTTCCCAGTGGAGTTTGTTGGCAAAAGTCACGGGGAGTGCTACAGCAGTGTCAGTGCAGACAACACAAGTGGTCTGCCTTCTACACTGACTAAAGAAACACTAACTCTGACTAAAAAAATATCACCTTCTTAATGGAAATGTTAGCAAATGAGTCAAAGCTTGCTTCCTCCAATGTGTTTTGAAGGTGTGGTTTTCATAAGTAAAGTGCTCTTAGTGCTTTTCACAAGGGCAAATCCACTGTGTTTTGAGAGTCATCACCCAGAGTTTAGCACAAAAGCCCAGCCTGGGGCAAGTGACAACCTGGAACCTATCATGAACTGATGTTCATGGGCACCAACTGCCCAGTTCCCTTTGTGTTTTAGCAGGAATTGCCTCCTTTGAAAGCTCCAGCTCTAAAAGTGTATTATATCATGGTCATTCTCAAGTTAAACAAACCTGTCTCTCAGTCAGCACTGAGCTTCTCAAACTATGACTTCGTACAGCAGTAAGAGTTCAGCATGCAAACTGTGTACACACAAAGTTTAGTTGTCTTCCCTCCTTGCTCATCAAGTCAGTCTTCACTAATGCATTATAGAAATGCCGTATGAGAAGGTGAGGTAGAACCTCTTGTGGGCCTCTTCCCTCACTTGTTTTCCTGGTGTTGCCACCACTGCTGCTTAGTCACGCCAAACTCCTGACACTAGCCATTGAGTCACGCCGGCAGGCTGCTCCATCTGGCCCTGTCTGCAGGCAGATGAGACTACCTGTTTGGGCACAGAGGAAGTCGCGCAGAGGATGACTCAGGGAGCGATGCTGGAAATAGGAGCTGATGCTGTCAGCTCCTCAATAAAACCAAACTTCCAAGGAGGGCGAGCTTTCTTACTCACGCTCTGGTGTTTGGAGCATGACTCAGCCTGTTCACATCACACAGCATTTAAGGACTGTCCACACACAGAGTTACCTGTATTTCAGCTGAAACGATCCTGCCGCCGCCTCTTCCTCACCCTTGTCGTGTTTTGGTGCAGGTGGTTAGTTAGGACTGATGTTCAGTGCTTCAGTGGGATGGCTGAACAGTTACCAAAGAGGAAGAAAAAAATCTCCCTTGCAGTTAATCACTGGCCACACTGTGAAATTCATCAAACTTTGAGGAAGCAATTGAAGCTATTTGCACTTGTGGAAAATGGGAAAGGCAAAAGTACAGGAAATTGCTTGCTGTTTTGCTTTCGGTACCACCGTTACAATTACTCCCCTGTTAGATGAGATTCCTTTACAAGAAAAGCCTTCCAGCTAAAGCACAAAGAGACCAGTCAGGTTTTGTTTATCTTGTTTGTTTTGAAAAATCAAAAGAAGCACAAAAAATGGTGTTTCTGCTGATCCATAAAGACAATCTTGACGCACTCAAGAAGGGGGTGTACCCCCTTGAAGATGAGGATCTGTAAGGCCCAGCTGAATTCACTGCTCTGGCAGCTTCATCTGACAGATATTTCAAAGTGAGGAGTTAACTAGACCTCTTAATGATTAAGGTTTACCATCAGATGAGGCACACGCAACAAATACAACAAATGCACTGTACTGAACATCAGGCCTCTGACTCTGAATGGACAGATTGGTTCATCGCCTTAGGGTGATGGATCCCCAGGGTGGCAGGCCTGGGACCCCTCTGAACACACCTGTGTCCTCTATTTCCTAGACTGCCCCTTCAAGATCACTGTGGCCACAGTTGCTCCCAAGACCCTAATCCTTAACAGGCAACCCCAGGACTGGAACCGCATATGGAACAAGGGCTTTCTGAGAACTAACGTGACCCAGGCATGCCAAGAACTTAGCTTGACACCTCTATAATTTTTGTAAATTGTCTCCCTCACAAGGCACAGGTTGATGTACTTGCAACTTGAGGAAACTCAAGAGTACCTCACAAAACTCCATCTACACAAAAAGCACTCTTTGCTGGCCCTTCTGAGGCCTCAGCAAAGTAGGGCAACACTGAAATGAATGGCAATATACTAGGGTGACACAGGTCTTATGTCTTTAAGTGACATAAATCAGTGCAATACCTTGGTCTTCAAGCCACTAGTAGTTTAAAAACCACATCAGTAGGAGTGGCATGCACAAAGAGAAAGTGTCAAAGCTCTGTTTCTCCTTTTCCTGCCCATTTCCTTTGTTATTTTATTATCACTGTCAGAGAGCCATATCAATCCTCTTTATCTCATTACAAGGATAAAAAACTTGAGTCAATTTGCAGTATACAATACATTAGCTTGTAATGTGATACCAGCTGCAATGACCCCATCCAAAGTGAGAAGTAATCAAGTTAATATTGATGGATAGTGGTTTCCTTTTCCAAAATGATAGTTTTAACGTCTGCAGAGAAGCAAGAGAAGAGCCAGCAAAGACAAGAAAAGATCAACATATTTTCTTTTTGTTGCATAATTCTAATAAGAATTGAATTTAGGCCCACTAGAGTTGGGCCTAAACAAGCGATGTACTTGTCCAAACACTAGGAGGATGAGAGCTATGCAACAAATGAAATATGTAATCAGATACTGAAATCAACCTTACACATGTACACAAGCCCATGACAGTGAATGACAGCACTTCAAAACACGACAGAAGCATGGACATGACCACTGGGGCAGTTTTGAGAGAAGAAAATTAGTCTTTTTTTTTTTTTTTAAGATATGATACCATTTTAAATTTATGTGGGGATTCAAATAAACCCCGATAGTAATGCTCCATTGGTTTCTCCAATTTTCTGATTGTCAACAGAACCGAGAGCAACACAGATTTTTCCAATAGTACATGAGAAAATAAAAATCACAGTGGCAAAAATGATGTGAAGGAATAGGAGTTAAGTCCTACCTTCATTTGTGCAGTGCCCTGCCAGAGGACTCGTGGCAGTAACCTCTTGTGGATGTTAACTAGGCTATATGAGATCAGAATCACATCCCATAACTTGCCTTTTAGGGCATGTCATTGCCTAAGATGTTTTAAGGGCATCCATCAAAATATATACAGAGAATGTTCTCATGATGATATACATGGAAACAGCTAATCTGATAGCTGCACCCATTTACAACACTTAAATGTTTGGCTCTGATAATGGCTTTTGTTTCTTTTTTCCTTTATTTATTATCTTTCTTTTTAAGATTTTAGTTGCATATAGTTGATGTAGTTCTTTAAAATTGTTGTTTTCACCTCTGCAGGATCTATTTTAAAAAGCCATCTTGTCTCTCTCTTTCACTCACTGCCTTGCCCTCCTTTTTCCTTCTGACTGTTAAATCAGACTCCATTTTTCCTCCAGTTGCTCCACACAACCTTGTGTTCTGCATCCTGACCTTTCATATGCTGCCGTTTGGATCACCAGCTCTAGCCATTACATTAGCAACACGCAATTACACCCTCAAGGTAGACTCAAGTGCAGATCCTACCTCTCCATAAATACCTTAATGAATGGCAAGATGCTGATGTACATTTGAAGGCTGTTTTCAGCTCACATACGAAAGAAGGATTGTTCAGAGACTTATCACCATGTGTAGTGATGGGAGCATTTCCCAAATGTCTGTGTTCCACCACAGTACCCTCTGTATGGTGCTGCTTTTGAAGTGCCCATGCATTATATACTTTCTAGAGGTCATTGCCAAAGCTGCACCCTGTTGTCATAAAGGAGCTGAGTGCACTTTGAAAAGAAGTGTTCTTGGTAAATTATTTGATAGTTTTTGCCTTTGGTTATGAACTGCTGTCCTGAAATGCTGTATTTCGGTGCATTTTGTTGCTCTTTGGGGAGCAGTACGAGGCCAGTAAAGTACTTACACCATTTTTATTTTTTTTCCATAACTCAACACACATTTTTCTGTGTACAAGTGACATCAGAACTGAAGCAATGCTGGCTTTTCTCCCAACAACAGCACTGGATGGCAAATCTGACATATCAAAGAACTTCCCCCATAGCCACACATCAATGTGGGACATGATATAATATTTTCTTTACGGTCCAACAGTTGTGATAAATTGAGCAATGTGTGAAATGGTGGTTTTCACACAGTTCAAGGCCTCATTTGTCCAGATCATCATGAATAAAATCTGTTCGCAGTACCAAATCCACTGGGAATGAACTATCTTTCTTCCTTTTAGAAGGAATTCCACTGCGAAAGGGAACTGTGAGAAAGGCACAGTGTGAGGCTGCTCTGTACCAGCTTTGTGCAGAAAGATATAGCAGTTTCTACTTTGTCTCCCAGGGGCTTTGCTGAGCATGTAACATTAATTGTGACCAATTTGGCCTAGAAAAGAGGTTAACCACAGGCTTCAATATCAATTAAACCATCAGATGTCATTCTACATAACATGTTCTACCTCTTCTGATTTATAAAAGTCTTGCTATAACTTTGCAACCCCCCCCCACTCCCCCCCTAAAAAAAAGTACTTCTAAAATCTGCAAGGGTAATAAAAATCTGTGGCATTATGGCATGAATGGCAACTCATTTTCTAAGTCTACGAAATCCAGTATGTCCCTTTAATTAACCAAGAGAGGCAAGAAAAAGGAACCATTTCTGAAAGATCCTGGAAGGAAAACAATTTGTTACCAGCGCAGCTTTGCTCCAGCACATTCTAGGTTATGCCAATGTGTGAAATGATGGCTACAACAAAGTCCAAAGTGATGGCATGATTGTGTGTGTGATGAAAAGGAAATTTAGACTCATTTTGCATGCATTACAGCAAATTCAGACTTAGTCAAAGCTTGTCCAACACTGAAGAGTCTTTTCACTGAGATCCTCCTGAGGAAGAGAGATGCTGGGTCAGTCAATCTCAGGATCTTCAGTGAGCATATTGCCCTGCTGGCGAACACACACAGCTGCTCAGCCAGAGAAGCTCTTCTTCAGAGCTAGCAAAATGCTCTCAAAAGTAAGGAAACTTCAAATATTCAATGCATTTTTGCTGCACTAGAAGGAATTAACCACAGCAAAGACTAGCCATGCTCACAACATGGGCTCTGTCAGGATAAACATGACCTGAAACTCTGCAAAGCTTTGGAATCGGGAGAATGCAAGAATCACCTGCAGAAAGGAGAGCTGTTGCACAGACATCTGGAAGTTTAGGTCAGTATTCATCATTCACAGATCTAAGTCCAACTAATTCATTGACTTTGTCCTAATTAATTAGAAATCCAGCTTGCATTACAAACAGCTGGGGAACAAGGCAATCCATAGCTGAGGGTTTCCGAGCAGTTTTATCCCACTGCTAGCAGGGTTTGACCTTGCTTCTTCCTTTGCCTGCAGGGTTTCAGTGCCACACAGTTATTGACCCTGCTGCTGCTATAGGTTCTCCACAGCCTCCCTCCAATCTGTGGTATGCTGTAGGGCACAGTAAACCTTACCTCTACAACCAAGCCACAAATTTGGGATGAGCTTATTTGCAGAAAAATGCAATGCCATGGCATAACCTAGGCTATTGGTGAAGTTTGAATGAATTTGGGTCATTTGTGACTGGCAGAAAGGGAAAAAATAAAAGAACGTGAAGAAAATTTCAACTTTCTATTTCAACATTTCCTGTTATAAAACCATTTATTCCTCAACCCAATGGGATTTTTCAACCCAAATTCAGTCACACTCACTTTTCAAAGGTTAAGACAAACAAATGAGTTTCCCTGCAACGCACAACTGAAACTCAGAACCGAAGTCTCTTGGTTAGGTTTTACTCTGGGCCACCTCAACCAGATGCAAATTTTCCTGCTTAGCCCATGCTGTGGCAGAACAGAAAATAAACTGCACAGCTCAGCCATGAGAATGTACTTCCACATTTAGGCTGCTCATGAAGCAGGTAGTGGGGGCAGGCACAGTGTTTAACACACCACATGTTCCCATGGACACACTTTCCATACAGGACATAACAATACACAATAAACATATTCATGCAATAATTGAAGAGTGGGCTGCGAGCTCTCAGCATATAAGTCTGTTTTCAGTGGGATAAGCAATTTTTCATACACTTTGAAAATTTTAGTCCAATTAAAAGAACAAGTAGGTTACTTCTGATAGTCTGTATGGGTACAATAGGACAATGATCTGGTCATCCATTCCAAATCTAGAAATGTATAAGCACTCCAGTTCTAGCAGCCTGATCCACCTGGTGGTTGTTTTAATGTTCTTAATGCCATCTGGATCAACATTATTTTCATCCTAAATCCAAAACACAGCACCATATCAGCTACCATGAAAATTAACTGTATCCCTGCCTCAATGAATTGGCTGCATCTTGCTGGACGTATGGAAAAATGGAGGTAGCACCTGTGCTTTACAGACTCCTGACATTTGATCAAAACACAGAGCTGGGAGGAGATCTACACACATCTGCTTCGATCTCTGGAGAACAGTGCTTGTTGGCCTTTACACATTATAGACACGGAGATCTTTGCACAGATTGAATTCAGAGGTTTACAACACCTGGTCATTTTTCTAGCAATGCTCATAGGTAGATTTACATGTGTATGTAAGATTCATGGAGTCCCTTGTTTGTAGTATATCAAAAGTCCTGCTTTTGCTCTTCCAGTAACCTTATTTGAGACGTGATGAGACTTCGTGACATATCAAAAGGAAACTCTGAAATCACACTATGCCTAGGCACAGCAAGAGTAAGTTAAATTCATTTTTGCAGCTGTCCAAGTGAATTTGTTTGCTCTTACTGGTATACGGCTCAGCTTAATATTTTCCTAAGGCAGTTCTTGATTATTCTGTGGACAGATGACTAAAATTAATAACGCAGTAAAGTTGGTCAGTAGTAAAACATATTCCGGGAGGCAAAAGTCAGAGCATCCAGATATTCCTCTCTGGAATGAAATGCTCCTACCCTTTCTGGCCTAGACGGATTTTCTCATTAGCAAGAGAAAACATTATTCAGCAGGTTGTATATAAAAGCTGAAAGAACTGAGTTCCTACCCTAGGTCGCACATTGCCTGCAGTGATCTTCAGTAGCTCCTCCCACAGCCTCAATTTGTTGGACCATGAAATAAAAATAACCTTTTTCCTACAGTACAAGCGGAGTGAGGCTGATTAGATGTGGAATTGCCCCCAGTCCCAAAATAATTAGTCTTGTACGAGTGAAGAAGTCTCTTGAAGCTTCTGGAAAGACAGAAGGAAGAAAAGGAGGGAGGGAGCGAGAAAGAAAGAGATGGATTTGTGCTTGGATATCAGTTGCATAAATGACTTTAATTCTCAGATTTCCTAACCTCACATTCATGTGACTGCACATCAACAATATATGTGGCTGCTTGTGAATAGCACCACTACTTACTGCTGCTGAATCAAATTTTCCTTAAGAAGCAAAGCTTTGTTGCTGTTTGCATTATTAGCCTGCCCTCTGTTTTCTTACAGCTTTGAACTAAACCCAGTTACCACTTTTTTTTTTTTTCTTTACATGATCCAGAGCACTGTGCTTCAGTTCACAGGACTGCAAACTGTCATTTGGTCTTTTTTAACTGTAATCATACAAAACAAAAGAAGTTGGCTTTCCCATAACTACTGGGTTTTGCAGCTCTTTCAAAACAAGACGCAAATTAAGTGTCTGTGACATTGGGCATTTGTGATACCACTTCAAACGTTAGCATTTCCATTTCTGTAGGCTAACCCCTATTCTCTCCTCCTGCAATTTCACATCAGTCCCTAATGCTCTCATTTTCATCCCGAGGGGCTGTGTGCAAACTGGGTATGTCTAATAGACATAGTTAGTGCTTTGCAAGGTCCTTTTGTGCACGGCTGTGACTGACAGAGACGGGTGCTGTTTGCAAATGTCAGTGGAGCAATGACCTCAAGTTAATATGGTGAATGATGAAAGAAAAAAACATTCATTCAGCATGTGAACTCTGTGCTGAGATTAGCCAGAAGTACTGGGCACATACAAATTACTGTGCTGTCAGCACAGCGCTTGGTGGGGTTTTTAAATATTCCAGCTATTATAAGCCATCATCCTCAAGGCAGTGGCAAATGAAAAAAGAGAAGAGCCAAAATAGCATTTCTGATGCAAATACCATTGTTTTAGATAAGAGCTTTGGACCTGGATGCTTAGAACAATTCATGACCTCCTGGCAGCTGCAGTCCTCAGACTGATAGGAAAGGAATTAGAGTAGCATGTACAGAACTGTTTGCAAAGCTCAGGGACGGGACCAGAAGGTATGCAGCCCCTCAGTGGTAGATGCCAGTTTACCTCCAGTCTTGCCAGGAGCAACAGAAAGTTACCAGAATCTCTGCAGTCTGTCTGTCTGCTTGTGCTACTTGCTCTCATTTCAGTTGCCTGTGGACAAAAGTTGGCTTTCCAGATTCCATCTCTGCAACTGGTGTCAGCAGAGCAGTCAGGGACCACAAAGGCCATGGCAGGTGACCTCTTGTCTCACCCATGCAGTTCTGTTTTGGGGGCACAGCCTGCAGTAGCATTCAGGGTGTATATGTAATCTGTAGCTAGCTAAAACTTTAGAAGTCTGAGGAAAATATCAATGATATTTTCGGTGATTTCTCCCCAGCTATATAGTTGGTCCTTTCTTGGAACTGAAACAATGGAACTGTTAGCAGAGAGATTGGAAGAAATGCAGTTTCTCTCCCTCCTCTGACCAGTTCTAGTAACAACTATCTCCAGAGTCAGGATTATGGAGAAGATACCAACTTTCTTTCTATCTGTGCTTCCTATTGTTGACTTTGAAAACCACATTCATTTGGGATCAGATTCTATCACAGACTGCTGCTTTGAAACTAGCAAACATCTGGGGCAGGTAAGAAATACAGAATTTAGAGTATAATAACTTCAATACACTCTGTGAAAAGAATCTTCTGTTCACCTCTCCTCACGGCCTGTCTCCCTTATGCATGCTTCTCTTGCCTTTGTACCTAACCATGTTCAAAACCCTCTGCATCATCTATTCCTCTAGCAGTCTTGTTTACCTGGTTGAGCTTCTTCTATTTCCAGTCGTCTATCAGTTCTTCAAGTCCTTCAGAACAGCAAGATCAATAATGTCTTTTCTTAAAGGTGATCAAACGCTAAGACAAAGCTTGCTATATTCTCCCCCTGCAATTCTTCTGCCTCCCCATTTACAGATGCTGCAGGGAAGGGGATGTACAAAAACCTTTTTGAGAGGCAGAGGACAATACACACCTTCTTTTGTGGAAGCAGCAATATCTACCCTGGGATTGCTGCATCCTGATAAAACTAACAGACAGATTTGGGCTTATTTCTGTTACTATGCTCTGTTTTTTTTTTTTGTTTGATTGGTTTGTTTTGATTTGTTTTGTTTGTTTGTTTTTGTTACTAGCCAGCAGCTAGTAGCTCTTAGGAAGAAAGATTTTTCTGAAACCTTTTGCTTATTTAATAGTCATTTCACAAGCAGATACAGTTTAGACTGCAAAATTATTTGCAATACTTTTGTACAACATCTGTTTCCCTCCACAGCGATCCCCCACCATGTGCTGACCCAGCCCAGAGCTGTTTATTTTAAAAGACCAAGACTAACCTCAAGCTGATACAGAAAGTGTTCCAGCTGATAGTGACCAGTTTATCATTCTCTATTTGTTTTTCCACTTTCTTTGTTCATCTGCACTGCCTTCTCCCAGGATTTCTCTCTGCTTTTCATGTGGGTCACTTACAGAATTATTCACTATGATACTGGATTGTCATAAAGACACTGAATAGGACATAAGACACTGAAAATTCCTCCTGGTGGGGATAAGCAAACACTACCCATCCACAATCACCTCACCAGATAAGTGAACACAAAATAGTTACTAAACCTCCAGCTATGAGTGCTAGGGAGTAAGCATGAAGAAAAAGAAGAGGGAACCTGTCTTTACAGTTACATAGGTTTCATATACTGCTACTTGTCAATCAAGTGCTCAAGTGGGGTACTTTCATTCACTTGCTGCCATGGGCAAAAGCAAATGCCATCTGTTTGGAACAAAACACACACCCAGAACACACATGTTTGCTGCTGAAAGGATGGGCTGGTCAAACTACCCATAAACTGCAGAGCTGAGTCAGCAGTACAGAATTATAATTAAAAATAAAAAATAAATTAAGACTAGACAGCATTTCTTAGAGAGCTGTGCAAGCTTGCTGGGACCCTTTTAGTAGCCCTGCAAATATAAGTGGTGTGTGGGCAGTTGCCACAAAATGGTTCAAATTGGAGAATTGCAGCAACTCACCACTTTTCCAGTGTCAAGACTGGGAAATGCCTAGAGTCTATGATTCCGATGTGGTAAAGTAGACTTCCACTGCCACCTCCTGGCTCTTCCAGACACCAAACAAAACTGAATATGCTAAACAGCCTTCTTCATATCTTATTGCCATTCAGGTCATAGGCCTGATCTAAAGTTTACTGAGATGACCAAGCTTCAAGTCAGCCCTTGGAAATATATGCATACGAAAAAAAATGGACACACAGAGACTGCGTTTTGTATCATAAATAAGAAAGAAAAGGTTTGCTGACCTTACACTGCACTCTACACATTGATTTTAAAATACAAGTAAAAACATTAAAATACTTCTACACCTGCTTCTCATACGAATGTGTTTCATTATAGTTTCTCACCTTCCAGAAGAAGCAGATCACAGCCTATAGAGGATCCCTGATGTCCTCGCAAATGTTTTGGAATATCTACTTCTTCGTTGTTCTGTTAAAAAAAAATAAATCTGTAAGCATACAAAAGGCTATACACTTGTTTGTTTTATAACAGAACTATAATATGGAAAAAAAATGTCTCTATTTAATATTCCTTTTCTTTGCTTCCTATCTTGCAAAGTCTAGCGATATTTCTTACTAATGTTGGTGGAGGTACGGAGATAGATATTGACTTTCATCTCTGTAAAGAATTCTGGCTTTACTGCTCCATAAACTGCTCCAAAAGAATCATAATAATATGATATCATGATTTATAAACACAACATAGCTTTTCTTTTTGCATTTTTATACAATTTCAAATAGCATTTACTTTCAGAGATTCCTTTTATCTGAACTCTACTCAACAGTAAATCTCAAGGAGATTGTCAGCCTAAGGGCATACAACACTTGGTAGCATAAGTCTGGAGGTAAAAAAGGGAACATGGGTTTCGAACTCTCATTACTCCAAGTCTGCCCTTTCATTATCTATGGATTTGGGGCCTATAACTTCTAACTTCCTCAATTAGTAAGGTCTCCCACCTGTAAAATAGGTGAGAATCATACTGCTCTACTGTGTTTCAAAAGGTTTACATCACTCCATTCTTCCACATTCATTAGCACTCTGATAGTTCACTGAGCAAGGTTTCTATTATTAGAAAGATTTTTCAGAAAATATAAAACTAGATGAAGCAGTGAAATCCACATTATCTCTGCTGTGCAGCTGAGTAACATCACATTCACCTGGTGGGAGCACATTCTTTCCTCGGTTTACATGTGTGAAGAGGTGATGTATTTTTAATGAGATTTATTTTCACGATAGGAATTGCACTGACAATTTGCATTAAAGATAAGCTAAATGAGCTGCTGAAAATTAGAACTAGCTTCCTCACATTTGTTTCTTTTAATTAACTTGTACACTGTGTTAATCTTGGATTAAGTCCTGGCTCATGCCATCTATAACATCGAAGTCATCCTTCCATAAAAGTTTTGATCACCTCATTTTCTTTCTATCTGTTTACCCTTTGATGGCACAGAGAAAAATGATGACAGGTAGCTCACAAAGGACAATTAAAGGAACAGCAGTTTATTCTTATGTGCTGCCACAAAAATACATTTTTTTTTCTCTTTTGTCTAAGTGAGATAGTAACTGTAAAAATTTTCAGCTGGCCAGAAATTTGTATTTCTGGCTAGGTTTACTTTAAGCACCTAGCAATTTATTGGAATTAAGTCACTTCCTATGTTAATTGAAAGTAAATGATATTATATGAAACCTTAGTGACCTCCAAATGGAACTGAAACCTTTTATGTCCCCAGTACAAATCTCTGGACTGTGTGCTAATGAGTAACTGGTAGCAGTAGATGTCTGTTATCACCCATAGTATCAGTCACATAAGGGAGAAACTCAATCAGCAAACTTGAGGGATATAGGATACGTACTTCATGATCAGGTAGCACAGATACTTGTCAACAAAGAAACACGGAGACCCAGGGAAACCTTGGATTTCTCTATGCCAGAGAAGAAAGAACAGACATGGGGTAGTATAGATGCTGGTTCTGCTTCCTCCCTGCTTATTTTGTTTTCCATCCCTACAGCTTCTTCCTTCCCATTACACCAAGTCCTAGTACAGTCTCCAGTTTTTTTTCCTCTTTATCTGCTTTACGTGCCTGCTGGCCCTGCTCCCCGCTCCTTGCGCAGCACTGCCCTGCCCTCCACCACAGAAGCAGCCAGCTGTGGGTTGCAGGATGGAGCTGCACACAGGCAGATGAGCTGGCAGGGGAGAATTCGAGGACTGGAGGAGGTTCACTGCAGATGTCACCAGCCAGGAATTTAGTTGCCAAATTCTATCAAGCTTCTGCTGAGGGTGTCCAAATTAAAATCACTTAGAGGTTATCACTTGGCCAGTTCATGTTTTCCTGGAGACAGCAAAAGGGGCTTGCTTGATACTGGAGATGCTTCTTTCTCTAAAGCCTGGAAGAAGCACGATTTCTGAATGAAAGCACTATAAGATTTTTAGCAAGTTCAAAAATCAACTTACTTGCCATACTCTCATTTTCGTGTGTGGCTGAATAATTTTAGATGAAATTTTCCGAAGTATGGCTGACATGAGCTGTGGAGAAAAGGATCCTTGACAGACAGAGTTGTAAGACCCTTCAGGTAACTCTGCAATGTCTGCCTTCTACCATAGCAGCATGGAGCCTAACCATATTTTATTGTACCTGCAGTACCTGCGCGTGGTTTGTGGGGCTGCCACATGCTACATACCATTTCCAGTAGGCAGCCTGGATGCAGCTACCTTTCTTTGACGGCTGCACGAGTTCAGCTGTGCTTTGCCAGGTGCTTTCAGTTTGTTTACTTGTGGAGAAAGATGCAAACAGGCTTGTAATTCCAAAAAATGGCTGTGGTCACACACAGAAATTTGGAGACTGTACACTTACCACCAAAGAAACATGCTGATTGTGCTTAGGTCTATAAACTTGCCAAGGCAGTTAGACAACCTATTTGGAACAGAAGTTCTTAAAATTGCAGCAAAAGAATACAGAAAAGTGTCAATTTTATACTCGGAGGAGGAGACCAGAAAGATAGCATATCAAGCACATGATTGCAAGGTGAAGCTGAGGACCATTACCATTACATTTGATAAATGTCATTTGCATTTATACTTTTCCCCATTTTCTTCTTATTATGACAATTTGGCAAAATGCTACGAACTGTTTATGAGGAAAAAGTTATGGATGCTGGCAGACAGGGCCATACAGGATCACAAGAGCTTGAACTCGGAGAACATTATTTGCCAGATTCAAATAAAATACCTTTTAGAGCTAGTGAGGAAACATTAAAAGGAACTGACTAACCTGGACAAACAACAACTCCAAAGGTAAGAATGACAGAAGATGCTTTTCAGTTGTATGCAAGAGTACAAACATCATAATGGGAGCAACAGGTAGAAACAGGAGCGTTCTAAAATGACTGGAAGCAAAGGGAAAACTTAGGCAGAACATAAGGAACCCTTACAAATAGACCATCCTTGCAGAAAAAAAAAAAAGAGAATCATATATCTGGGGAGAGGAATGAAGAAAATACATAAGTCAGTCTATCCAGATATGAATTAAAACCAGGGAGTCCAAGTTCAACGGGAATTTCAAGCTTGGTTTTGGAAAGCAAATATGGTTCAGTCTGCCATCCTTTCCATCAGAAGCCAATGACATAGGTGGAGCCGAAGCCTTGTGACTCTGTTGAAATGAAGATAAACAACCCAATCACAGATGATAATTTAAATAGTATAATTTAAAGCAGATGACTATGGAGGAAAGGAAAAGAGAACCACCTACCTGACACCACCAGTCAGAAGTAAGTTAAGCCTAACTCTAGGCTGTAAAACTTGGAAAATATGAAAAGTGCTTAGAAAATACACCAAAAAAATAATATTCTGACAGATAGTGCAGCCCCCTTCAGCCCCCTTCAGATAGGAGAAGAGTTCTGAAGACCTATTGCAGAAGTCACTGAATTACTAAAGGTTTTTAAAAAAAAAGGAAAAAAAAAGAAAAAAGAAAAAGAAAAAAGAGAATGATACTGTTCTGAGAATAAAAACAAAAATGTATTTCTGTGTTTAGATCATTCAGCTAAATGATCTATGTGGATTAACTCGGCAGGAGGTGAGGTGAGCCTGCGCCAGCTCCAAGAACAAATACTATGCTGAAATGCAAATCTTGAGGAGCGATTATACAAAAGCCCTTACTAGGCAAATTTTGGGGGAAACACTAAAAATAGATTGTAAAGAACAGCCTGACCAGAAATGAGGCAGCATTGTGTGGAATATCAATTGCTATATCAGGGTGAAGAAATGAAAGGAATGTGCTAAGAATGTCAACTCTGACCCTGCTGTGAAACACTGAAGTTTCCCCAAGCATGTAGCAAGAGTAACTACCCTGTGAGACACAAGCACACGCAGCAAAAAAGGAAGAGCTGGACATTAAAGATGCATGCTCCGGCCCTGGGAGAACACCCTCACCTGCAGGAGAGGGCAAGGTCACTTCTAGACTCTGCCTTGGAGGCTTGATCTCTCACAGCTGTACAACATACTCTCAAAACCAAACTGAGCATCCTGCCTTCCTGGTTTTGCATAGGAATAAAGATCGAGCCCTCTTTTCAGGTTCCTTTAGCAAATTAACATTCTGGATCAGGTGAGATGGATTGCAGTTCACAGACACAAGCAGAGTGTTTTTGTGGATTTCTGCACATACAAAACACTCAGACTCAGACCCTCTCATAACCTGCTACTTACCAGTCACTGGTCGGTTTTCTGGCATTTACTTGCACAGGATAAAAGAGGCAAGCATGCTTCTTTGTTAACTCTAAGTCCTATAGCAACGTGGCTTCTTGTAAAGAACAAGCAAGATTAGATTTTCTTCTGCACCTTGATTGACACAGAGAAGAAGTAAAACCTTTACAACTGCCTAATTTTCACAATTCACGTGGACCAATTATTGGCCCTAGTATATTAATATGTACTAGGCACTAGCCTTGTACATATCAGCTGCTGCTGCCTGGTTTTGAAGGTGGTCTTTCGAACAGGGTGATGTGGCAGTTCTCTGAAGGGCTACATGTGGTTCCAGCCCATGCTTTGTTAGAGAAGCAGTACCCAAACTTCAGAGTCTCAGCCGTGCAGCCCTGCTGCAGCACTACACTGGAAGGGAAGCTGGGTGACCACATGCTGCATACAGAAGCTGTGGCCAGGAAATATGGATCCTGTCTGCTGCTAACGTTCTGTTAGTGTCAGGCAGCAAAGGACCATTCTCTGCTCCAGCACCTCACTTCCACATTAGGGAACCAGGGGAAATAGCACTCACATTCCTTTGAAGATCGTTTTTAAGGTAATGGGGTTAGGAGAGAACCAAAAGGAGCCACTGCTGCTGGAGCTAAATAGATGCAGACCTCCTCCCCAGTGCTAGGCATGATAACACAGGGCTTCTAAAATAACACAACATCAGGCAGTTTTGCTCTACGGTCTTATTTATTACTTTTGAGTCTGTTGTCTCTATTTAATCTTCTCCTGCTTGGAAGAACATCACTCCATCAGTGAATCAGCATCTCCAGAGAGGAAATGAAATGGAGCCACGTTCATAGTGCGCAGCCAATCGCTGTCTTGCCACTCAGTTAATGTTCCACAGTGGGTTAAGAATTATTGTCCTCGTCTTTCAGCTTAGTCCAGATTTAGAGCCCCAGTGGAAGAATTAAGGAGTAGATGAAACAGTACATGCAAAGCTAGTTCCCAGAGCAATAAAGGAGCGTGTTTGCTACCTCAGTCACTAAGGCAGGTACTTAAGAATCAGATGTCACAAAGCAGTTCATTTTTCACGAAACCTTGAGTAAAGGGAGAGAAATGTCATTGGATACCACTTAGAATTTCCAGCAGGACTGCAGGAAGCAAAGAAAGATAAGCTATTTAAACAAAACTATTTTAATTAGTATAATTATAGACTGAAATATGACCCCACAGTCCGTGTGTTATTATTTATCACCCGGTAAGGTACTTCATGGATTGGCCACAGAAAAGACTTTGCAGCAGCTGACATGTATGTCCTAGACCTTCACTCACAGAAGATTCCCCCAAGAGGTGAATTCTCCAGTGAGTAAGTAAATTTGAGAGGGATTTTCTCTCCAGTTCCTTCTCTACTCCATGCATACATGTATTTCTGCAGCTCAATATCTAGCCACTGCTCTCCCTTTCTCTTCTCTACCTGACATGCTCGTGCATGTCTCTGATGACTAAGAGTTGTTGAACTTCTGATGCTCTACGGGATTCTGAGCTGTAAAGCGCAGGGAGAAATTCTCCCTTGGAGCTTTATGTGATCCTCGCTCTTCTGCAGCTGCAAGGATCAGTTGTGCAACTGTAAACTCTCAAGGCTGACTCACCGCTCCGAATCTATTTCCCTCAACTTAGCTCTGCTGTGGCAAAATTGCCACCCCCACTCCTCTTGCTGACTGAACACCAAGCAAAATTTAATCCTGATCTTTCTCTCTGTGTCTTCTTATTCCCTTTATACTTATAACTAAGATTATGCCATGTCCTTTTTCCTTAATTTAAGTAACCAGGAGGAAATTCTTTACTCAGGGGATGATGAGGCACTGGACCAGGTTTCACAGAGAAGGTGTGGATGCCCCATCCCTGGAGGTGTTGAAAACAAGGCTGAAAAGGGCTTTAAACAACATGGTCTAGTGGGTGGTGTCCCTGCCTAGGCAGGGGGTTGGAACTAGGTGATCTTTAAGGTTCCTTCCAACCCAAGCCATTCCAGGATTCTCTTGTTCTCTGTACTCTTTTTGCATGGTAGGCTAGGTCTAAATACCAATGGTTCTTCCTTTGAAATGTTTCTAAGACTCAGGACAGACCACGCTCTTACCAACTTTCACCTTATCTCCTCCCTAACATTACTTTCCCCTTTCTGGCTTCTCTGACATTTCAGTCAATGCAAAGCACAGCTTCTAGATCAACCTCATGCCCTGCATAATGATTGTTGACACTTTTCCCTCCTCATCTCGAGTTCCCACTATGGCATTGTTTCCTACACCTCTGCATCCCAAAGTCCTTTTATCAACCTGCGTATCAGTTTATGACATTTACTTTGCTGTTCTCCCCTTCATTCTGACAACAAGGAATTCTGAGCACCAGCTATGTTGTGCTTTTCACTCTATCCTCATCCTTGCTTTCATATGCTGCCATGGCATAAGTGTTTATCTCCAGTTTTTGACCCTACAGATCAGTGACTCTTCATTTGCCAATGGAGTTGTCTATGTTCCAGCAGCCATGTGCAATGACACGACATGTGACAATATTATCCATCTTTTTTTCAAATCTCTTGTCAAAACCTATTTCCTTCTAAGACAGCAACAGACATCCTAAAACCAGAATGGCCAAAATACACAGTACCATTTGGCTTGCTGAGAGAACTACAACCATGTATTTCTTCCTTCTGCTGCTAGAAAAAAAAATAAATCCATCCAGTAAAGGAAAAAGAGACAGTAATTGTGTTACTGAGTGTGTCATAATATAGACAGACCAAGAAGGAAACCACAAGGTTTTGAGTTCATTGTGAACACATTGCCTCTTCACTGCACTACACAGTTGAACTCGCCACTAGTAGCTCCACTGCTGTCAGACTTTTTACACGATCATTACTGGGAGAACCGAGTGGGGCTGCTGGAACACATTACATGTTTTCCACTGACACTGTGCAAGCTAAGTATAGGTATAGGTTTACATGGCAGTATGTGTTGGTTTTCTATCTGCTTCTACAGGGTAGCTGTTTACTAACTGTACTAATAATGTTTTTTGTTTTTTTTTTTTAATATATATATTATTATTATTGGTTCTTCCATGCTCTGTGCTTGTTATTGTAAACTGGTGCCAGGTATCAATCTTAAGCATTCATGAACCGTTCCACTGTTAGGCTGCCTCACTCTAATCTGGCCTAAAGAAAGATGAAGGGAATGCAATTTATTTATTACACTAATATGAGGCTTCTTCCCGAGAGTCCCAGGAATGTCGAGGGCTTGTAATGTCTACCTGTTATCACATTAGAGAAAATTCTCATGAGTCAATTCCTAATACTACCATGTGGACATCACTTCGAATTTGGTCCTTATGTTGACACTCAGTGTAGCTCATGATATTTTGTCATGGGCCTGACCTTGACCAGAAAGCACACAGGTAAGTGTTTTTATGGAAAGTGATGTTAACAGTTGGATTTGGGGTAAAGAAAAGGAATAAAGTGCTTGTGCGTCTAGCTCATACATCATTTCTGCTCGTATTTTCCACATTAGTCCATGCATCATACCAAACAACTTTGTTGTCTGAGAAAATGGGGTGACATCTTCCCTTGTGGGGAGGTAGATAATGCTGTTAGTGTAAAAGAATGAAGTGGACTCTTATGAGCTCTTTGGCCTGTGTTTTCCACTCTCAGTGTTCTGTGATTCATCTAATTAAGGTACACAGCCTGTAAAACAGTAGGCAATTTTGAACTTTCTACTCATTAGCTGGATGTGAATGGATTTTTTTTCCTCCTGGCTGTCTTCCATTTATCTATGGCAGTTCTACATGACTCAGTGAGATGCCAGAAGGGCTCATGATTGCGTGGGTTGCCTCTGGCAAAGGCAGCAGCTTGAAAGTAAGTGTCTGTCTATCAGACTTTTACTTCTCTCTGAAAACAAACATTGAAAAGCCTCTTCCTAGTGAGGCTGACCCAGCTGCCGTGTCTTGTTGGGATACAAGATGATTAATTTCTTTCTACATAGCTCAGTACTTAACCCATACATAAGGGGGGCATAAGGGTTTGCAGATGAAGCAGGGCTAAAAAAAATATAATCTGATTTTATGCTTAATGAAGAAATAATTTTCTTAAGAACAAAAAGCTATTTGCATCTAGTGCTTATAAATTGCACAATCGGAAATATGTATAACAGTACCACAAGGATTATTTCAGTGATTCTGGCTGAATTAGAGTCAGGAAAAAATATATATTAGAGATATTATTAAAACAGGAGGTTGTGAAGACTTCTAGGATATATACAGATGTTTTGTTTTTGGTTTTGTATGTAAAGCTGATTTTTAAGTTTGGAAGGTCTGCAGATTAGGCTGGAGGCAGCCAGAAGTGAAAATAAAGGGCAGACTTTCAGATCAGAGGGCTATAGCTTCAGAAAGCTATACTGATTTTTGTTAGCTGACAGATATCAGGCCTGCTGCCAGTGTCTAGGGAGCTATTTGAGCTTTAATCAAACGTGCCAGAAACACAGATAAATACATCTTTGGCAGTACCTTTCTTTGCTCCCCGTGGGTATCAACCTCTTCATCAGCCCTTTTCTTTCTGCACTAGTCAAGCACTCTGACAGGCAGCCTCCATGCTCTGTACAGAGCTCCTGCCACAGCACAAATGCCTTCCTTCTTGCCCAGCCACAGCGGGTTTCACCCACCTCGTCTTCAGAAAGGGAAAAATGGTGACACCTGCAGCTCCACCTCATCTTACTCCGTGTAATGAGATATTTTTGTGTGCAGGAGTAGCACCCCAGCAGGGCTGCCTCAGGTGCGTGGAGTGAGGCTGGCATTTACGTGCTTTGTAAAATACAAATATGGAGCCTCTTAGCTCAGCCAAAACAGCCTCTCCTGTTCCTCTGAGAGAACAACGATGAGAGGATAGGAAATGGCTGGCTGTTCTTCAGGACTGAAACACGTTTTTGCCCAGCAACCACACTAGGCCCACGAAAAACAATTCTCTTCCGTCCACAGCTCTTTGTTTACTGCTCAGCTCCAGGATCAAATTCTAGGGTACCTGAGGCCCTTCTGTTGCTCAAATTAAATCAAAATCTCTTTCAAAAAAAAAAAAAAAAAAAATCAGCCAAACTGTTTTTGCTTATTTGAATTAGGTTTGGACACAGTGACAAAAATGGCGTCACCGTCATCCACTGGGGCCGCGGTCCCGCGCTCCCCCCCTCAGGGTGGCGACGCCATCTTGCGGCCGAGAGAAACTCAGCGGCCAGACACCTGGGGGACGCCCTGGGATGGGCAATTTTGCGCTGGAAAATCTTAAAATTGTGATAAAAAAAATAGGCAGTCTGTTGTAGAAATGATCATCAATAGCAGCTGCACGGGTGTAAGGGTGGCAGGGATATTACTAAACGTGCTACGGGTTTGGTGGCAAACAAGCAGGCTGGAGGAAGGGAGGGTTTTTATATTCCCTTCATTTTTATCCTGCCTTTCACAGCTGAAATTTCTGTGGTTTAGGAGTTACAGGTCTTATTTTATCTTCTAATAAATGTAGTTTTTGAGCTACCTCTGTGGAGCTTTTGGGGTACTCATAATGCAGAGAGGGAAGAAAAAGACAAAATGAATCCACTTCAAAACTGTGGCAATTCAAGAACCGGTTGCAAAAATGAAGGAACCGTGCAGTGGCAAACAATAGCTGATCTACACAGGCCTTTCTCATAAAGCCACAGGAATTAGAGAAAAAAAAAAAAAAAAAAAAAAGTAACGCAGGGATTTCATTTTAAAATCCCTTTTTTTCTTGCTTTTAGCTGGTGAGAGCATGGTCATTAACAGCATCCCCAGACTGAACAAACAGTCTTTTGATTTTATTGAGGATGATATATTTCCTCACTCTGAGGAAAAAAAAAAAAAAAAAAAGAAAAGCCATAGTAGTATTTCAAAATATAACTATCACATGAGAAAAATAGCATTGAAGACCTGGAAACTTAGGAAAACAGACTGCTTATACTGTCATCACCTAACACCTTCCAGGCAGAGGAGCAGAAACTTTTGTCTCATTTTCTGCTTCAGTCAAATCCTCAAAATCAGATGATTTTCTGAAAGATCATCTAGATTTTTCTCTCAGTTTGAAGACAATGCTCTTTCAGCTGTGATGGCACTTGATCCAGAGGGACTGTCATAATAACACTGAGACTGAGCCTTTAAATATTTCTTTCATGAATAGGGCCTAATTATGTTGAGCATAATGTAAACATAACACAGTAATGTTCCTCCTCCAGACAGTTTTGAAATGAAGTCAATAAGGAGAGGCAGAAGTAGAAATGGTTGTCCAACTTGTATTTGTTCCAGTACCAAACGCAGCTTAATATAGCATAAATATTTCAGGTCTGTATATGTGCTGCTGAATTTTAAAATGTGTCTAAAATGGAGAGACAGGGATTTGGTGGATGGACCACTCAGTGGGTAAGGAATTGTCTGGATGGTCGCACTCAAAGAGTTGTGGTCAAGAGCTTGATGTCCAGGTGGAGACCAGTGAGGAGTGACCTGTAGAGGTGTCCCTGCCTCTCTGGGGAGTTGGAACTAGGTGATCTTTAAGGTAGCTTCCAACCCCAGCCGTTCTGGGGTTCTATGATTCATGAAAACATCTTTCCATCTGAGACCATCTGAGACCGTCTGAGCTATATGTCAGCCACAATGTAGATGGCAAGGGTGTTGTATTGCCTCAGGTTTGAAACTGACGCCTGACACACTCTGTGGTAGGGTGTTCAGTTTTGGGTCTCTCACTACAAGAGGAACATCAAGGTGCTACTGTGTGTCCAAAGAAAGGCAATGAAGCTGGTGAAGGATCTAGAAAACAAGTCTTACCAGGAGCAGTTGAGGGAACTGGGGTTATTTAGCCTAGAGAAATGGAGGCTTAGGGGAGAACTTATCGCTCTCTATGAATACCTCAGAAGAGGTTGTAGCAGGGTGGGTTGTAGTGGGGTTGCTGTTCTCCCAAGCAGCAAGCAATAGGACAAGAAGAAATGGCCTCAAATTGCACTAGGGGAGGTTTAGGTTGGATATTAGGGAAAAAAAAAACAACAACAACAACAACAACAAAAAACCCACTGGAAGGGTTTTGAAGCATTGGAACAGACTTCCCAGGGAAGTAGTTGAGTCCCCATCGCTGGAGGTATTCTGAAGACATGTAGATGTGTTTCTTAGGGATATGGTTTAGTGGTAGACCTGGCAGTGCTAGGTTAATGGTTGGACTTGATGATCTTAGATGTCTTTTCCAACCTGAATGACTCTATGATTCTATGATTCTGTTGCAGTTTGGAATTGTTCACCCATTGGGTTGTTTATTAGTCTAGCTGTATGCTGGACATTTGTAGAAAATATACTGTGAGAAACAGGATCAAAAGCTTTGCTGAAATCCAAAAAGATTGCATCATCTGGCTTCCCTTGGTCATCTGGGTGGGTGACCTTGTTATAAAGGGAAATTAAGTTCATTAAACAGGACTTTACCTTCATGAACCCATGTTGGCTGTGACCAATGACTGCACTGTCCTTTAGGTGTTTTTCAATAACTCCTAGAATAATCTTCTCCATCATTTTACCAGGCACTGAAATGAGAGTGACAGGTGTGTAATTAACGGGGTCTTCTTTCTTGACCTTCTTGAAAATTGGAACAATGTTTGGCAGTTGACTGGGACCTCTCCAGATTCCTAAGACAGTTGAAAAATAATTAAGAGAGACAGGGAAGGTTGAAGCCAATAAGCCAGAAAGCTTGCCTCTGGGGACTACATTCTTGGGGGCAGAGTAGTTAAATCTCCCACTAGAAATACAAGGAGGTAATCTTGGCCATTATTATTATTATTATTATTTTATTTTTTTTTTTTTTTTAAGTGGAATTAGGGAAACAATTCTCCTCTCCGCATTCTACCATGAAAACGAGAATTTATTGTGCAAGCACAGTCTGAAGTACTAACTCCTTTGTTTATACCTTGTACATCGTGCACTAGAGGAGATCTGTAGGTGCAGTTGGCACTGGAGTGCAAGCCTTGTGATGGTGTCATCTGAAATACTCCAAGTAGCTGTTTGGCAGGTCAGTAGAGGAGCTTGGCCGGGCTATGTTGCTACACAAATGCCAGTGGATTGTTACCCAGAGGGAGGTGGCACAGTGAGCACCAGACGCACATCTGCCTGTGCACCTTCAGCAGCAGCTGACCATGCAGGAGAAGTTAGAGTTGGCTCTGGAAGCCTTACAGAGAAATGTTTCCTTACAGAGTTAAAAACCTTGGTAAGGAAAGGAGCATGTTCACTGCATACAAATGAGATGGGGAAAGGAGCCTGCCAGCACTGTTATGTTCACTGGAAAGAGCTTTGTCATAAGCTGCTGTGAGCTGAGCTCAAACATAAAAGATGAAAATCTTCAAAACCAATTACCACTTGCTCCTGTTGAGCCCTTTCTTCTGATTCACCTTCACCCTACAGCAAGTCTGTGAAATGTGGGTTCACCTCATCACTTGGGGTCATCCCCTGGCAGCACAGCCAGCTATTACAAGCCTGTGAAAGAAAATACCATGTTCTTCAGATCAAATTTTTGGAGGTAATGGCTCAGCAGTCACAATGAAGTAATCAAATACCAAGATGAGCCAAAGCAAAAGCAGCTGGTTTGTCCAACTGGCTGATAAAAGACACATCAAATTTATACTGCAAGTTTATTATGGCAATACAATCAGATTAAATAATTTTCACAGCAATTATATTTATATAAGGTATATATTTTTTTTATTCCCAGCACGTTGCATTCTTTTCATCTTCAGTCATGCAGTGAGTAATGTACAAACACAATTATATGGAAGATTTTTTTTCCCTAAAAAAGAGAAACCAAAATTACAAAAGTATGGCTTTATAAGAAAGTTCGAATCATAGAATCATTCAGTTGTATCATACAATGAACATTCATTTGTACTTGGGCATGGCAACATTCATCAGTAAACAACAGCATCGGTCCCTGTCATGCTGAAGACAAAAAAAAGCCAGGGGAACTAGGAGCAGGGAAGAGCCCATCAGTGTTAGAGAATATATCTGTATACATTCAAAGTATGAAAAATGTAAAAAATGGTTTCAGAGATTAACCATCACATTTATTTATATTCTGAAGTCAGAGTTACGGAGCTTTGAAGAACGCATCTTTTTTATACCAACAAGCATCAGCAGTGGTGCAATTGACTTAAAAAGTGTTAACTTCAGTTGTAAGGAGATGTAACTGAGGTTAAAATCTGGCCTGTTCTCTCTGCTGATGATGCTGCAGAAACAGTAGCATAACATTGGTAAATCGTATGTGGCTGAATTCTGCTGTCAGCCCAGGAAAAAAGAAAGATGTATGTTTAATAGATTTTGTTTAAAAAGTCGGTTCAAGAATTAAATGTGTCCACTGCCACAAATCCTTTGCTGGATGATTGTGTCTGTTGGCATGAAGAAGCCCTTGTGCTTGATGCTTAGGGACAAAACACCTGTTTCAAAAGCAAAGCTGCTGCCTCTTGGATAGAGAAGAGACATTCTTACCTGTTAGCAGCACAGTGCTTGGGACACAAGCTTATTTCATTAAAAGGTTGCTTTCTTAAGGCATTGATCACTGTTGTGTGCGAGTACTGTGATGTGTAAGTACTGTCAGTCAGTTAGGAATTGTACCAGAAGAGGGCAGACATACGTGTGCACACACACACAGACAGACACACACACACAAGGTCACTCAGAGCTCACTGAAATGATGCTCACCGATACTGAAGGAAAACACAGACACCCCTCAGATCTTTACAGTGCTACTCCTGAAAACTGAAATTAAATAACATAACCTATAATCCACAGGTTAGCACAGACCGAACCCTCTTTCTTTTCTTTCTTGCTTACATTCTTTTCGACAAGTTCTGAAATAAAGAGCTACCTTTACTTACTATGTCTATAAGCAAAATGTAAACATCACTACACAGCACCTAGCACTTTTATCAGCAAAGTCACTAACATATTTGCCATGCAAGTACAGGGTTTTTTAAAGACTACTGACTGTCAGATTGCAGGAACAGTGGAAAATATAGAGAATTTACTTTTGATAATAACCTGGCTTGGAAAGAATGAAGAAAAAAAAATAACACAGAAAAGGCTGAGGTAGATTTGTCTGTAAATGATGTAATGTCACCGTACTGTAAAGGAAAAATGGACCATCAAGCTAACAGGCAGGGCACTGCAAGATTAGTGAGCCGGGTGTGTGTAAAAGATCCCCTCCCTCCAGCAGAAGGACATCCCACCCTGCACTCCTATGATGGAGAAACGTGTTAGGTAAAAGAAGCACCATGATGCTAATGGCCCTAAACCCTGGCCCAGTGGGACTGTACATTGAGGTCAGGTAGTAGGTGAGCGGCCAAGGCCCAGGCAGTGCTTTATTCTCTCAAAATGGTCAGGAAAAGCCGAAATGGCAGAGCTCTGGTGTGATCAGCTGCCTGTTGCACCCTGGGCTAACAACACCTGAGTTTTTGCATGCTGGCCAACAAACAGTCAGAAGCCTTCTTCCAGGCTGTGACACCAGGTGCAGATATGCCCCAGAATTGGAGTCTCTTGAGCAATTGCTCCGAATCAAGCTCTTCTCTTCTGCTTGGCTGGTGGATAACCTCACGTAGGCACATAAAGCGTTCTGCTTGGTACAAAGCCACCTGAGTGCCCAAGTGCCTGACCCCTGACCTTCGCAGTGATCCCCAACTGTTAGGCAGCAAATAATCCCTGCACCATTTTAGAAGCGCTTGCTGCCAGTGGGTTGCTCGGGCTCTCTGGACACGTCCCCCTGCCCTGTTGGAACGAGCTGCCTCGGTAATGCCAAGAGTTCCCACCTGCATCATTTGGTTTCTAAGCAGAGCCCTCCTGTCCCTCCTGTCTTTTCTGAAACTCTTTATAGCAACAAAACCCTCATGGTATGAAGACAGTGAAATAATGGTTGATGATTTGCCTTCCCTCCTTCGGATGATTTACTTTCCCTCCTCTCTGCTCCCGGGGCCTAATTACTATTCTAATAATAGCCGTTGCCAGCCTCCTCTGCCTCTCGCCCACTGGCATACGGGTAAGATACCACACTGCTGCTGGGCACAGGCTGCATCCTGCTTCCCTGGGCTCCAGGGGTGCCACAGAGACTATGCTCTGCAGAGCCACTCAGCAGCCTTGGCCTCCTCCTCCAGCACTGCCCAGCATCTCCAAAGGGTCCTTCCAGCTGGCTCTGGCACAGCCCTGCAAGAAATCTCCACCTGGCCCCGGCTGGCAGCACCAGTAGCCTGGCACACAGGAGGTGCCCCGAACATGGAGAAACCAAGCAGAAGTGCTCCACGTACTAATTAACACAAAAGGCTGCAGCTCTGGCACAGCAGCCCTGGCACAGGCAGGGAATTAGCCAGATGAGACATTTTTGTGCTGTGATCCCCCTGTTCACAGATGTGAGCGCACAGGTTGAGCGCACACCTTTTCTTGCGAAAAGGGGTTTGTGCCCCACTGCCTTTTGCACCAAACCTGTTTGAAGAGATGAGGGGTTTATTCACTGCTGCTCAGTATGGATCTTGGAAAATGGGTGATGCTACTTCATTAGAGCACAGGATTACGCCTACAAAGGGAGGAGAACATTTGGGTCCAAAATAAGGGATGTTCCCGAAGAGGGATTTAGGATCCTTCCACTGCTCTGCTGGTGCTGGGCACAGCCAGGAGGGCAGGGCCAGTGCCTTGAACAGACAGGACTCTGCCTGGGCAGGGCACCCCCAGCCCTGCAAGGAGAGCCCACTGCTGGAGAGCTGCAAACACCCCCTGCCTTCAGGTCCCCGAGAAATCAGTGGGAACTTTTTGTATTTCCCAGGATCAGGCCCTCTGTCTAGACTGGGGTGACAAAAATACTCTGACAACAAGCGACAACTTCCAATGGCAGGCTGTCATGCCCACAGCTCGGATAGCTAACAAGTGCAGGTAACTCTGAGACCCACTGGTGTGTCAAGCTAGTGAGCTGCATCACTTCTGGAGACACATTCACCCCTAAAACACAAGTAAAGGATAAATAATGCCACTCATGAAGGACAGGGCTACCAGTGGACCTGCTCTGGTTTGCAATTTTTTTCCTGGACAGCAGGGAAAATGGTTCCCTCCCCATCGCACAGCCTTGTAGAGCCATCAGGGCTGGGTTGCCTTTAACCCCCTCACTCCCTTGTGAGCCAGGATGCTTTCCACTAGCTCCTCTGCCTGTCCCTAGGAATACACACCCACTGGCCCTAAGTGCACGCACTCCATGCTTCACCTACCATCAAGTAACTCATTAAAATCACACTAACTTTACATCTCTGCAGCATCAGCCGTAGACTTCTTGGCTGTTACTAGAGGATACTGGATCACTGTCAGAAAGGAAACCTGACCTTTCAGTCCTGCTCATACACAGTAGTATTTTTCCTAGTATTTTTCCTACCAGGAGGTAGGACACGGTCTTGCAGTTACACCCTTTGAAAATCCCACGGCAGGAGCTGTTCCTTTTTACCCAGGTACATTACACAGGATAGGGTTATATTGGGAATTCAGATACACTGACACCAGCTGACAGCTGAAAAAACAAACAGAACACAGTCTCAGCTACAGTTAACCCTTCACATGCACAACAAACAGAAAACAAGGAAGGTTTTTGTCTTTAAAAGTGCCGTGCCTGCAATCAATTAGGAAAAAAAAAAAAAGGAAAAGAAAAAAAATCACAAACATTTAAAATCTTGTCACAAAATATTGGATTTTCCAGCATAGCCTAATAGGGTAAGTATTAAAATCACACTAAAATACACAGGGTGCTGGGTGAGCAGGTCCCCGAAGTTGCCTTTGAAAATCCAAGACCCAGCAAATAAAGTCAAGGAAAAACATTTACCACGTTTTTTGTTGTTAGCTTTTTGCCATAAGATGGTAAGGGCTTTAGTGCCTGAGGTATAGGTAGTTCCTGGATGCTTTTAGGGAAGTGGGACGGAGGCAGAGTCTGGAGAATAGTTTGCATAGCTTGCAGGTATAAAGAAGCAGGCGTGTTCCCCACCAGGCTGTTGAATTTGTCTTCCCCCAGCAAAGCTGTCCAGTGCTCTGGATGATCCCGCAGAACTTTCCGCATCTTAAATTGGGGGTTGGGCATGAAGAGCAAGAGGTAGTCGAGGCATAGCTTCTTCGATGCCACGTTGACTTTGGAGTCCCACATCTGTTCCAGGATGACGTCCAGCGGGGTAAGTCCTTTGCTGTCCTCTATCCTAGGAGAAGCTCCATTGCCAAGGAGGATGAGGACCGTCTCTGACCTCAGCAGTTCACAGGCAAGGTGTAGGGGTGTTTTCCCATCTTCCAGATGAAAGCAGCCAGTCCTGTTGATGTAGGAGTTCAGGCTGGGGAGCTTGTGTGCAATTTTGATGATCAGCCCCAAGATATCTCTCCTGTCATATGTGACTGCCATGGCCAAGTGGGGAGCAGACGATGGGCAATAGCAGAAGTGTTCCCCAGGCACCTTGAGAGCCTCCTCTGGGAAATGAGACAGCAGATACTGAGCATAAGGCAGGTGGTTATGCACCACTGCATAGAGAAGGGCTTCTGAAGGTGAGTACGTTCTTAGGCTGGCGTTTTCCTCCCAGTAAAAATATTCCATAGTTCTCATGTCTTCTAGCATCCAAACAGGCTTGTGATCCCTCACAGCCTGATAGAACATATAGGATAAGAACTTGCAGTGCCTGCTCTGATCGTCCGGCAGGCTGGCCTGGTTACTGGCCATGGCTCAGCAAATAAAGAGCTGCTCCCCGTAAAATCGCTCCAGATGGTAAGATCTGTGCACTTGGAATGCAGATCCCGATGCTGCTGCAACCTTCAGGCTGTCATTGCTGCCTGGACCGCACTAGCTGGAATGCATGGGCTGATCATCTCCACCCATTCATTGTTTTTCCCCTCACTGCAGTGGTTTTGTTTAGGTAAGCACAATCCCACAGGCTCGGTTAACCCATGCCATGCAAGCAGATGGTTAGTAAATATATCCTGCTCGGTGTGTGGCGCAGGTTACTGGAACGCTGTCAGACTGCAAGCGATTTTACACACACACACAGCTAGAGAGAAAGCAGGGAGAGACTAAAATTAGCTGGAGAGGTGAGGTAGTTTTCTGTCTGCATTTCATGTCTAACCAGATCAGCTCATATGCTGCAGTAAGTACGACAGCAATATTCATCTATTTTTTTGTATGTCACTCACACACACAGCTTAGTAAATCGTAAAAAAAATATGTTGCAGTTTAAAATGTTCCACAGCTGATAATATGGATGATAATGTACTCACGAAATCAAGGGACTGGTAGCTGTAGCATTAGGAAGGGATCCCTATTTTAGAAAAAATGGTATGGCTGGCCAATTAGGAGACACTGATGTTAATGGATTGTCTATAAGGCATTAGTGATGTTTAAGATCCCAGCATTGATCTCTGCAGAGAAAGGAGTCAAGCAGGATATGGAGTAACCCTTCCCAGAGCCGCAAAGTATATTGCCCAGTGTAAATGCCTGCCTTTGTTTAGCAAGGAAATATCTGAAGTGCCTCTGTTTTGCATAGCAGGGGCATAAACAAAAGGTTAATGGCCAAACCACACTGGTGGATGGAGTGCTTTGATCCAAGCATTTCTCAGATGTCATGTTCCAGGACTGAGATCAGAGCAAGCTGTAATGGGGGGAAGTGGGTTTAAGCAACCTAACTTGTGTAATGCCCTGGCAAGACACAGAGGACCAAGGCTTGATGGGGGCTGCCTATAGGATGAAGCAGAAGGGCCAGACAGAAATTAAATTCATAGAAAATAAATGAATTAAGCACCCTTCATTGCAACTTATGCTTAAGGAAAGAGAACTTCTACACATCTTATAAATCAATAGATTTCAGTAGGACGGTGTCTCACCATCTTGATATGAGAACAGAAAAATACAGCAAATCAAGAATTCTTTTTTTTTTTTTTTTAATTTAGCAAGAAGACAACAGTATATTCAAACTAAATAAGGAATGTTCAGGTATCAAATCTGATCATCTCCAAAATGTCTGGGGTCATCCAAAGAGAAAACCGTAGCCATTTGCAAATCTGGGTCTAGATGTAGCACATCTTCCCATTTTCAAAGGTTCTGGTTGTTCATGCCCTAAACATTTAATTTTAGGGTCAGATTTCATATTGTTAGAATAAATGGTTCTATGTCCAGTTTTAGTCCGTCATTTTTGTGCTCACACGTGGAAATACTGCTAAATAGTCACTTGCACATGCTATTATCCAGTTGTATCCATGGCTGTAATAAACAATGTGCATGCTTAGGGGCAGATCCAAAGAATACTGAAGAGCACAGGGAAGTTCCCACTGATTTCAGCGTGCTCCAGCTCAGGCAGTTGTTGAGCACTTGGGAATGAATCCACATTTTGTTTCCCAGGTTGCTAACCCAGAGCAGCTCACAGCTGGGACTGAACCAGGAATTGCCTTGTCTTTGCCTTGGGGTTACAGACACTAACCAACCCTCACTGCTTTAAACATCTGCTCTAGCGTTTAGGTAAATTGAGATGCAGGGTGCATATTTGTGCAGGGAAGTTAGCGTTTGGTACATTGAGAGGGGAATTACAGCATGCTGGTTCCTTCGTGGGGGTTGTGTGCAGGCACTCTCAAAGGACGTAATGGTTTAGTACTAGGTAGCCTCATCCTTGCCAATCTAATCCATCCCACATTGACCTCAGGACAGGCAGGCTCACAGTCATCTTCTCTGCTGTTAAATCCATCTCAAATGGCAATCACCTGAGCAAAAGCTGTTCTGCCACTGCTCCAGCATTTCCTGTCCATGGCAGGGTCATCACCAAGTGCTACCACTTTTGTGGTGCCAATGCTGTGTGGTGACTGCCACGGCAGCCATTCCGCAGTAACACACACACCAATTTTTACATTTCACCTTTGTAGGCTGTGGCACAAGCTAGGTGTTTTTGGACTTAGGTTCCTTTGCCATCCTACTGTTTTTCATGTGCCTTAGCATAATTTCAAGGAGGATCTGCTCCATGCACAACCTTGCCAGGCACAGATGTGAGTCTGACTGGCCTCAGGTCCCCAGGTCTTCCTTTTTATCCTTTTTAAAAATGGAGCACATAAGATACTGTTTCTTTTTCCTCCCTGCTGGCCCTAAAACCATTTTTAGCTAGCTCCATATCTGCATTTCTTTTCATTGGCTGACGGGAATGGTGCAATTCCTTTAAGATCAGAGTGGCCATGTCACGGGACCCCAGCAGTTTCGTGGCTAATTTGAGCTAAGCTCAGCTCCTTCCTGCCACATTTCTGCCTGGGTACACACATGAAAAAACTTCAAGGAAGAAGCTGCTTGTGAAAGAAGAAGAAAAGCCTTTGAGGAAGATTAGGACTGCCTCCAGCATCCTACATCTGTCAGAAACTTCAATGGTATGTTTCTTGCTCAGTTACAAAGAAAGCAGTGGACAACTTCGTCTATGTGAAGAAACTGGAAGAGTACAGCTAACACAGAAGGTGGGTTTTACTGGGCATGAAAGGTTTCTTTTATACCCTGCACCACAGTTTACCAGCTCCAAGTCAGCCAGCTGACTAAACAAGGCTTTGAGGTATTGGAAAAATCTATAAACAGACCTGTCCTGAATTGCAGAATATTTCACTTCTGCTTGCAGAATTCAAACAGCAAATGAAGCCATCTCTGACTACATGGTAGAGCACGGAAATGAAAATAAGCAGAGCTTTAGCAGTTTGGAAAGCATTTGAATTACATGCAATGGGACCAGCTGATATGCTCTGTGAAGAGCAAATCAATCCCCAGATGGTTATTTACTTGCAGAAGTTTGGAAGTGAAAGATAACTACCTAAAATGAGACAGTCTTATCCAATATATGTAGGAAAGCCATCTAGAGACAAAATGAGGATCCTCAGATTATGTACACGTGGCCTGTTGAGCACTGCTGTGATCTAGACACGCATTACTGTTCACACTGCTATATTCAGAGCCTCACCTGTGCATTAGCCAAAGACCCAGAGCACTCACAAGACAAAGGGGAGCCTGGGCTTGGAGATGGGTCAGGAGCAAGACCCATTTCCATGCTTTTTCTCTGTCAACTCTCAGTGAGGAATTACCCATTTGTAAGGGCAGGCACTCCATAAATCCTGGAATAACTCCAAAGGGGGGATGAAGATGTTGCTAAATCTCACTGAATGTCCTACATCTCTTCAAATATAGGTTAGATCAAATAGCACACCTGTGTCTGGAGGATGTTTTAATCAGTTATGAAAATAACAAGGCTTATTTTATTCCATTTTTAAAGGTGCTTTTGAGACCTGATTGCATAGAGCCCGCATGCCAAAAATCCTCGTGCCTCCCATTTCTGAGAGCCCATTTGTTTCAGTTCCCAATTCCTGTCCTAATTTGAGACTTTATCTCTCAAACAGCACAGAAATAGACAGATTGCCATGCCTATTCCAAAAAGTAACCTGCCAGCTGAACTCTGTTTAAAGAACAAAAAGCACTTGCAGACAGTTTGTGCCTACAGATACATTGAACCAAATGCCGTTTTTTCCAGTGACTATGATGAGACTACACTACAGCCTTGTATTGCTGAACATTTCCTTTTTTCATCACGATTACAGGTACCAATGCCCTGTTTTACCATCCTTCTTGAATATTTTTAGTTTTCAAAACTGAATAAAAGCAATGATTTTTATAAAACTCATAATTAACCTGGTGATTTGGTGCTACACAACATCAGCAAGGTTAAATGCACGGCAATCTCCAAAATAAGATATTTTTTTCACTAAACATTAAAGTCTTTTTTCTCTGCTTATGCAGCAGCTGACACTACACAAAAACTGCAACTTTAAGGTTCTGCTACCAGGCAGGTGGGCAAATAAATAAATAAAAAATGACACTTGTACCATTCCTCATGCAGTGACGACAAACATGTCTGAACATTCTTAGTGGTTCTAGTGTTCACAGAATCACAGAATCACAGAATCACAGAATTTCTAGGTTGGAAGAGACCTCAAGATCATCGAGTCCAACCTCTGACCTAACACTAACAGTCCCCACTAAACCATATCCCTAAGCTCTACATCTAAACGTCTTTTAAAGATCTCCAGGGATGGTGACTCCACCACTTCCCTGGGCAGCCTGTTCCAGTGCCTAACAACCCTTTCAGTAAAGAAGCTCTTCCTAACATCCAACCTAAAACTCCCCTGGCGCAACTTTAGCCCATTCCCCCTCGTCCTGTCACCAGGCACGTGGGAGAACAGGCCAACCCCCACCTCACTACAGCCTCCTTTAAGGTACCAGTAGAGAGCGATAAGGTCGCCCCTGAGCCTCCTCTTCTCCAGGCTGAACAAGCCCAGCTCCCTCAGCCGCTCCTCGTAGGACTTGTTCTCCAGGCCCCTCACCAGCTTCGTTGCCCTTCTCTGGACTCACTCGATCACCTCCATGCCCTTCTTGTAGCGAGGGGTGTTGTCTCAGCATTACAAACTAAAGCTTGTTGGAAAGGTAATGTCTGTATATTTGTGGGGGAAATGCAAGGGCTAGAAAACTGAACTTCTTTGCAGAATATATCAATTTCATTGCATCTTTTGACAAAATCCATAGTCCAAAAAAGGATGAAGATCACCTCCTGCCAGCTGCTGAGGTTTTGCAGAGCCAATACCCTGAAAGCCAGATTTCATGGAGCCAGTATCATCACAGATGGATTTTCCCTTCAGGGGCAGAGAAGCCAAATACTCAAAGAAAGCTCAGCTTGAGCAGGAGCTGTAGGAGCAGGTAAACTATCTACCACTTGGGAGCATGATGAATCCCAATGTATCCTTACATAAGAATGTATTTTTTTTATCTATTTTTATTGAATTCATTACAAAAGAAATATTCGTGTTGCAAGCAGTTCCATTAATCCCTACAGTCTCCAGTTGTCAGACCATGATAAACTGCTGGAAACTACTGAAAACAGTCTTCAGCCCTACTATCACAACAAACTTATTTGTTAAGGGAGTGTTTATGGTGTCTTCTGAGGTCTCAGATTCTTTGTTCAAAGAATTGTACTGGAATAATGAACGGGGTACTTGGGATGACTTAGTGACAAATTGCTTCCACCACCACATTTAATGAGTTCAGAGCCTGCTAACCTGCAGCTGGTCATCTCTGCTCTCTTCTTCTTCGGGGCTGAGTGTACACGCGGATCTGGCTGGTAAGAATTGACTCAATAGCTGCTGGATTACTAGCAAAACGAAGAGATGTAAAAGCAGGAAATTCCATAAATCTGCTTAAAGGAGAAACATTTTGATGCTTCAGACATGGTGGTTTTGGACTGGTGGTAAGGAAAGAGCTGTTACCACAAGGTAAACAACAGAAGGGCAGAAAGAAATTAACTCAACATTCAGATCTTTGCTGGCATTTAGAAGGATGGCTTAAATTTCATGATTCATTTGGTCAGTGAATCAAAAATCCAGCTTCTTGGGGGCTGGGAGTTAGACCTGGGGGATGCTGCTCTTCCTGGCATCACGGATGGTGGGAAATCTCAGCAGGTACCTGAGGCAGCCCTCCCTTTGCTTTCCCTGGCAGTGCTGTTGCTCACGATGTTGACATTGACAGACTATTCACAGGGGGCTGCTGTCCCTAAATGCAACGTTTAATGCTATTTGAGATGTGCTGGGGATCTGAGACATCTACGCAGAGCTGCCAGAAGAACCTATTGAAGGTCTTTCCAGAGAAGTGACTGGAGGCCAGGGAAAATAACCTGTAGCTCCAGAAGAGCCTCTGGTGAGGTCTGGCCCTAGCAGGGCTGAAGAACGGTCAGGGTTTCTGTAATGGCCACTCTCTTATCCTTTTACTCTCGGGGC